ATTACCCTAACTAACTTGAAAGTATGAGCGAAATCGATTTTTCGAAGTTTGCCACGTTTTGCTCGATGGTTACAGACAGTCACTCTTAAGCTTTAGTAAAAATACACAGGTGATTATTGAAAATCTCGCGCGCTGATTGGTCGAGAAACTCACACTATCACACGATAATCACCTCGAGCGAAAATCCAAAATGGCGGCCAGCCGCTTTGTTGCTGTTATTGGGAAATAAATGTCAATTGCTGTTAAACTCAAAATGAACTTGCTGATAATCAATATTATCATTTAATTCTGCAAAGAACGTGCGTGATATGGAAAAAGACCATGCCTGATATGAGAACGTATCAGCACTTCTCATCTGCTCGCGCTGGGTACGATAGAGATTAAATACTCCGTGACCCGTAAAAATACACAGCCGTATCAGATGCTTAGCCGATCGACTGATAACCTCTATTTTTACATTCAATTGAAAAACATTTCATTTTGGGACAGTGTTTTGATTGGTTCCCCCAGGCGCACAGTGTTATGGGCATGTGAAACTAGTGAATAGACCTTTTTAGCTTCGTCGTCTGTTATACATAATTCAGATCATGTGACGCCACTTTTGGGAATTTATTCTTTCATGGTGTAAACTTCTTATTCATAAAACCGGAGTAAGTGGGCGTAGTTGAAGCCTATTTCTGCACTTAAATTGTAAAAAGTCAGATTTAAATAGGCCGGCTCTGTTGTAAAAGGTGAGAGCAAGTTTCGTACTCTCAAGTTATCCCCTGAGCTACTTCAAAAGGGAAGTACGGGTGAAGTGCGCTCCTAATGCGTCGCCTCTCACCAATGCGGCCCGGCTACGAGTCCTGCCGGTTTCGGTGTCGTATGTGAGTAGAGTTGTTTGTTGGTTCTCTCCTGTGCTTCGAGGGTTTTTGATCCGGGTTCTCCGATTTTTCCTCCCTCCACAAAAATCAACTACTAAATTTTAATTCGACCTTTGGGCTTTCACCAAGTTGAAGCCTAGCCTTGCTGTGATTGTCCAATTCGCATTTTTAAAACAAGCAAAACTCGAACTCAAAAGCACTGCACAGACCCGTGGTGTTTGTGAGGCGAACAACGCAAATATACAACTTCAAGAAACAAGTGAAGCGTGCAAACGTTAGCAGGAACCAAGGGAAAAGCACTGCAAAAACCTGTTCTTTCTGAACCAATAATACAAAAAACTTCGCCTACTCACGTCAAGTAACTGACGTTTCACTTAAATGTAAGCTTGAAGTAACTTTTTTCCTCTCTAGCCTAAACTAAAATGGCTTCGGAAATTGGATGCCATTCGGCGTGACAAGAAAAATCATGAAAATTAGCTCAACATTAATCTAAATACTCAAAGTGATACTTACTGATGATCACTCTTCCTTTTATAGAACATTTTTTATGACGATTACGAACCAATATGGCATGGACTTTGACAGCAGTATTTCCTCCTCATTTCAAAACAGCCAGATAACGGGCGCCATGACACTTTTGAATGGTAATACCGCTGATCGTTTTCCTATTCTCCAATTCACCATTTCCGGTCATAGTATTTCCCCATTCACCATTCCCCAATCTCTATTTTAGAAACATCCCCGGAAAATCGTTAACTTTGGCCGAAAGAAAGCCAATTGGTAGTTTTGACTTACCTGTCCCGAACAACCTGAGAATAATAAGGACAATGGTTTACGGAAAACGCCGGCACGGGTTCTTTTGGTTTCTCATACATGCGTAGATGCATGTGAAAGCACAGGAAGACCAATCTCGGTTTTTGTCTGTATGTATATTTGTACGAAAAAAGCCTTATTTCAAGGTTTTTCTTGCCTCATATCCCCCTCATATCCCCCCCCCCCCCCCCAGCAAGAAAAACCTTGACAACAAGGTTTTTTTCATACAAACGACAACTAAAATAGGCACAAGAAGTTCCATACGAATCTATTAAGGTAGCTCCATATCGTTTTTGTGCACGAGGTTGTGTATTATCGTTCGCACGCGTAATCATATGCTTTTTTTGATCTTTTTAAAATCTTTTTTCTGAAATAACTCAAAAACTAAACAGTAAAATGTTTTCAAAAATCTATATTCTTATTATCATATAATGGTTAAACAATTCTCAAAATACTTAGAAATTCGGTATGAGGAAATTTTTTTATTCGCCTACATTTCAAAATTTCGCATTATTTGAAATTCTGTAGTACCGAATACCTTAGCATTGTGTCAAATGAAAGCTGAGGTAACGTATATTTCATTTTAAGAAGTATTTCAAAAATCACAGTGGAAAACCGTTGAGTTTTTTATCTTTTTAATGAAAAAATTGGCCTTCATTATAACTGACGAAGTGTTACCATGGCAACCTTATATGTGACGAGCTCCGTGAAAATTGAATCCTAAACTCATGAACCTTAATATGGTTGGTATGGCCTGTTGGGTATCACTGCGTGATATGCCATATGCCTTTTGATTGGAACTCAGTAACGAAAACTATAGGGAGCGACCTAGCACAGATAACCCAAGCTTGGTTTCTGTGGTGTTATGTTATAAGGAAATGCATAGGGATCCTTAAAAAATTTCAATAAAATCATTGAAACCCATAGTAATTACTATTCTCACGAGGGAATACTAATTTAAATAAGAAAAAAATTTCCCGAATCATCTTGGTGGGAGTCAAATGACGCCATGAGGTAAGCGTCCTATTTTTTTAACTACACTGAGTTTTTTCTTTCATTTATGACAGGTGGGTTGAAGGAATAATTTGCATATCGTGATGAAATATTTCCTCTAGCCATCTATCACCGGGTCTACCAATAAAACCAGACTTCAGCCAACCGTTAGGATTTCTAGCTTAATCTGAACAGACGCGGACTGGCCAGACGAAATATAATAATAATAATAATAATAATAATAATAATAATAATAATAATAATAATAGATGTAATTCAAGAAACGATTGATATATAGAGTTAGTAGGAAGTTCCTTCCAATACATACCTAGACGAAAATATCGGCAAACAGACGTAATCGCGGTAGAACTTTCTGAATATACGTACTAAAATACCAAGCAACGAAGTCTATGGTGTCACAGCATTCAAACATATTTCATAGATCGTTTCCAAATACGATCCATATATTCCACTAGAATACGGTTCTCCACTATTTGAAAATCAATTTTTTCCGAAGGAATGCAAGTATATTGCACTTTACTGATGAGATTTTGGCGATAAACTATGCTCAGCATTCCGATTTCAAGGTGCGACCTTTTGCTTACTGACATTAGACCATTCTTGTTCCCAGATTCTAGTATAGCTCCTCGGTTGTCTTTCCTCGCCGTCAGAGGCTCTGGGAAACCTTATACAAATTCTCGCAATTTGATTGGCTTTTAAGAAGAACGATAGATCTACTTTTTGATTGGACAATCAAAGACAAATAGATGTTTTTGTTCGCCATTTGTAGATTTCACAAAGCCAAAGGCTTGACTTGGCTCCGGTCATGGAAAAAGTTCGAGCATGCGCCGTGAGGACGTGGTTGCAATATTCCCTGCTTCCGGTTTTAGGGTTTTCCAGAGCCTCGGACGAGGAGAAACAACAACTGAGCAGGATCCGGGAACGAGAATGGATAGACACGAGGAAGGGCCTGGCACTAGTATATCATCTTAATTTCCAATAGGACGTTTGTATGATGGCGTCATTTGACTCCCACTACCAAGATGCTTCGCGAATTTTCGTTCTTATTTAAGTTTGTATTTCATCATGAGAATAGTAAGACAATTGGTGCTAATTAACTGAACAAGAGAAAGTGTGCAAGGGAGTCTGGTAGTAGAGGTCAATGACGCCATCAGGCAAACGCCCTATTTCATTCCATGAATTTGACTCTTTCGGGTTTTAACACAGGAAGCCCAAGCAATGTTCTTGTACTGTATTAAAAAGAAATGTATGTGGAATTATATATCGAAGCAAGAGAAAATGAACTAAGAGAAAAAATCCCCGCACCCTATCCTGAGCACTCTTTGATGCTATTTTTAGAATCGTAGTTGCTATTTTTAGAATCATTTACTTGATCATTTGCTCTTCTTCACCACTACCGTAATGCGCGCGCCCATCCCCGTTTTGCTCCTGTTTCCTTTCTTTCTTTTTTCTTCAAAAAAAAAAAAANAAAAAAAAAAAAAAAAAAAAAAAAAAAAAAAAAAAAAAAACGTGAACAAACAGCGTACAGCGCTCACAGTGTGCGGTGCAGAAAACCAAACGATTGCAAATGTGTTTCTAAAAAAAGCTTCAAACGGTGCCTAATGATTACAAACATCAGAATACAAGAGACTCTTTCTCTTAGTCAATTTTCTCTTGATCTTAGATCATCTATAGCATTTTTTGTAGTAAGCTTGTCGTCGGATTGGCTCCAAATCGCGTACAGAGACAAAGAACGGAAGCAACAACACATAGACGACATACATTCCAATGAAGAAATAGAAAACGCGCGCGCGTCCTGTGTGCAGTTATAAAGCACGCGGGGGTTGGCAGAACATGAGAGAGGTGTTAGGAGAAGCACGATGCGTAGTTGTTGTTCTTTTTGTACGTTATTACTATACTTACTATAATACTATAATTACTATATTTTGAAATCAAATTATTATAAAATAGTTTATAATATATCATTTATTCATTGTATGGGTTGTTAGGTTGATTTTTTATCTGTCAGACGGTATTGTATAAAGATGCATATGCCTTGCAACAAAGATTTTTTTTTACTTTTTAGTAAATATTTAAAGACAAGGTTGTTCATCAGCCTCCCGTAGGCTACCCCCATATATTTTCTGTTGAAATCTATATTCTCTGTTGGGATCCCTGTGTTAAATTTTATGGAAGAGCCGAAAAAGGGACAAGAAGATGAGGCTAGCTTCTACTGGCTCTAACACTACTAGTAACAACGTGTTCGCTTGTCAGACGATACCGTCGATGCATAGCAAGATTTTTTTAAATTTTCGTAGATATGTGTGTTACCAGATCAAAATAAAATAAGAAAAAGCTTTTCTCAAGAATTTTTTTTTAGCCCGGCTCAGACGATAGAGCAGATGACGTCACCGAAGGAATCGATCGATTTTATGCAAATTGTTTTGGTAGCATGACGTCACTTGCCATTTCATAGTATTGTGTTCGTGCTGATATCATGTCCGCCATGTTTGTTCTCCCCTCTTTTCGTCCTACAAAGTTATGATTTTCAGCGATGCCGAAGGAAAAGCATGAAAATAACGGATACCGGAGGAACTATGCTATTATGAGCTCTGAAGATGTGGCGGCGGGAAAGAAATCGCATTGGACTGAACTCGAAATTACGGCTCCAATCCGTAATTTGAGCCCGAGCTTGTGGCAGCTGGAGTTTCTTACTGCATTATTTTTGAGCGACAATCATCTCACTAGAATTCCCCCTGATATTGCTAAGCTTACAAACCTAAGACATTTAGATGTTTCGTCCAACAAACTGCGAAGTTTGCCCGCAGAAATTGGAGATATGGTCACATTACGTGAGCTCCTTCTAAGCAATAATGGCCTCCGAAATTTGCCCAACGAGCTTGGCAAACTTTTCAAGTTGCAAACCCTTGGACTCAGTGGGAATCCCTTGCCTCAACAAATATTAAATCTATATGCAGAGGTTAATGGAACTTCTAAGTTGCTAACCTATATGTTGGATCATTTAGAAGGTAAGTAGATTGTAAACCAAACTTGTGGTGTCAACTCTAAATTGGTATTGTTATGGTGGACATCTATATACCCCAACAAAATACCTAGTTTACTTCATTATCGCTAGATTAATGCACGAGAGAGTTCATAAACTAGAATTCGGTGTATTATGAGCTGAAAACTAGACATTTTGATGGGATCTCTAGGTTTTTATTGAGCAAAGCACAACGCAAATTTCTTTGTGTGAGAGACACGCGGTTTCCTTATTCAAAGGACGACTGCATCGCTCGCATAAATAAATTTGAATACTATACCAATCCTATTGGTTTCTTCTGCATTAAGCAGTTTTATCTTTATCATAACTAAACTAGTTACACCATTATTAATTTTCGTCCAAATTGAGCTTAATTTTATAGGGTATTTTTAGATCGAAACGAAGAAAATCGTCGAAAATGAAACTCATTTTCTATGCAAGGACGAACACATAATTTTACGAACAATTAACAATTTTGTTAAGTTGACTTCATGATAAAATTGTTGGAATAATCATTTAGCAAAAGACGTACGAGAAAAATAGCTTTATCCCAGGTTTGAGGGTTTTTGAGTATTTCTGAAAAGTGTGGTACTATATTTTTTAAACCGGAAATGCAAGTAGACTCCTTGAAGAATCCTTGATATTGTGTTAAAAAAGTCGACCTAGGATTTCCAAAGGCCAACATGCTGGACAAAAAAAACATTTTACTCTTAATGATTGTCTTACAAATTAACTGACAATTATTCAAAGGGATTTTTTATGTTATTTTTGGCAAAATTTTTAGAAGGTAGGAATATATTTTACAAATGATTTAATTCTGTAAAGCTACAGTCATGGATAGCAATGAAAAGTAAAACACGAAAGTAAACAATGAAAAGTAGAAAATTAACAAAGTGTATGCATCAAATCGGCAAAATATGACAACCAGTTGAATAACTTACTATTGATGATTTTCACGGTGGCCATGTTGGAGGAACTTAGCTARAGAATTGTTAATGAAATATTTTGTTATATCCTCCAACATGGCCACCATGTCTTTTGTTATTTAATTCTCTTGGAAAAAGTTAAAAATCATCGATTTTTCCAGACAAACTAGCCTCTCATACAAGTGAAACGTTTTATGTTTCCATGTGAACTTGACGCTTCCCTGTTGGCAAATCTTGGCAGAGAAAATGGCAGACTTTGCTGGTCTAGGCCATTTTCTTTGATATACTGCGGTCTAGGATCTTGACGAACCAGACAAGTTTTGAGACCAGTTTTAACTGGAAATAAGTAGATAGGCATTAGGAAATGTAGAAAACCGCTTGATATTTTTTGAGCCCACACTTAAGTTAAGACCCTTGCATGTGAAGTCTTCTCATTATAAAGACTCATTCGTTGGCTTGAACTTAAGTTTATACCACGAAATAGGCAGGTTCAGTCTTTATCTAATCATACTGGCTTTACCAGTCTTTGAAGCAGAGGGTGATTACTACTCTAGTGATTTCCATTTTAATACAAACTCAAAGTAATAGCAAAAGGTTTTTTTCTCTTCCCTACGTAAAATCAACATGTGAGTTGAGTGTTGTAAATATAGAATGTGTGGGAACCTCACGCAAGAGCCCCACATGTGGAATGGTGGTTGTAAAAAGTATAACCTTTCTTGTAGTGGGTAGTGACTTACAGTATGTGCATCATACAGTATGGCATGCCGTCACAAAGAAATGATATTTCATTGTTTTGATATGTCTATCTGTCTATTATCCAGGGGGTATTCCTAGTTGCACAGTATAGCCCCCAAGCCACCTCTGGGTTTTTGTTTTTGTTTTGTTTCTTGAATCTTAATTTCAAATCAAGATTAAATTGCATGTGTTTAAATCTTAAATTAAGATCAGAATGAATGATGGTGTCACAATATCATCACTTTGTTATTTCAGTTAAATAGCGCAGCGCAGCCGTGACGTCATAAAAACAAAGACAAAGGCGAAATTCGGACAAACAAACTTACAAGYTTACTTTCAGCAGATAATTTTCACAGCCGATCGCAGTTGATGTTAGTTTACATGGGTTATTATTGTACATGTAACTCTAGTAGAAATAATAAAATCGGTTCGTATAATCCTCGTAGCGGTTAAACAAAATGCAATGTTTGTCTGAATCTTTAAGCTCTTTTTAGAATCAGTGCACTGTGCTATTGCATGTGATTATCTAAAAATTGGATCAGAATTATTGAGGATGTCACAATATCATCACTTTTTTCATGTTGGAAACCCCCTTTGGGAATATTCTAAGGTTGCCCTTGTATTTACTGTAGTGCATACTGTATATCGTGTGCACTCAATACTAAAAGCCAATGAATTGATATTACATTGAATATTGTTTATTATATTTTGCTATAGTGTGTGAAAGACCACCAGAGCGCCAATGGATTACTCTTACCTCAGACAATCACAGACAGTCAAATGGTAGGTTAATATTAATTGTCAATTGACATACACACTTGTCATCAGACAACTATTCTAGTGATAATATTCTAGAAATGTTCTATTATTCTTTTGCCAATCAGAATTGATGTCATAACCCCAAGACAAACGAAAGAAAACAATGACGCTTCTGATTGGCTGATTAAACATTCTTGAAATATTTCTAGGTGCCCATGGTTTTTCAATTCGCACTCTAAATTTGCTCACATTAATGCTACTGTAAGCAAGATCGTATTCTCAAGCACAGTGTTCAGTAACCAAATGTGAATTGCTGGCTCTTATATTACACTGATTGCATTAACAAGAGGGCAAAGTCAGCAGTGATTGAATTACATGCTCTAACCAAGTCTGCATTTACAATACATGGTACTGAACAAATTTTGAACCGGTCAAAAAGTTTTACATTTAGGGGTTTGGTTCACATGGGACTGAGCTATCGGAACAAAAATTTGTATGCTTAGCCATGCAAATTTGAGACCAGTTCCGTGTTAAGAACATATATTTTATACAATTTAAGAGATTGTTCTGTGTAAATGGTATGTACAAATGTTTGACCAATTAAAACTTTGTCTGGTACCGTGTAAACGTAGCCTCCGAAGGCTTTTACACAATCAAACCTTGCCACACTTGCTTTTTAAAAGAAAAAAAAAATTTTTGTGCTGTTTCTTTTGGGAAAGTTTTGTAATAGAGGTTTTGCACCATTACCTGCTGTTAGCCATGTGAGATCTCAAAACAATAAAACCCCTTAACTTTCGGGGATTGAATTCTTTATCATGTAAATCAATTGAATTGTTCCTTCCATTCAACATGGCTGCGTTCAAAGATGGCACAAGCTGTTACTTAACCTCTGAGAATAATGATTAAAATGTGTAATCTTCGTATACACTTACCCTGATGATGGTCAACATGACCGAACTAAAATCTTATTTAACTGTAATAAACTTAACATACCTTTAGATGAAGCTTATATTAAATAGACCCTTTTCGAGTTCCAAATTACCACTGTGTTTCTCGATTATAGACTCATTTACTCAGGCTTATCCTCGAATCAGTGTCTAAATATTCACAAATACCAACGGTAAAGTAAAGAATGCACAACTTCAACAATACAAACACTTTGAAACTTGACAGGCCTTGACTGGAACACGTGAATATTTGACACTAAACCGAGGCTAAGCCTGAGTAAATGAGTCTGTAATCAAGAAACACAGTGGTAGTTTGGAACTCGAAAAGGGTCTATTAAATAATCATATATATTAGAATTAGTGGTCCTGGTTGCCTGTATCCTGGTGGTAATTTTATGTAGTTTTTTGTGACGTTGAAATTTAAGTTTAAACACCATCAGGATATCCCCTAGGTAACCAGGACTACTAAACAACCAGTTAAAAGAAAGCTTCAGAACCATGATGAGATTAAGAGTGGTTTTTCATAAACCTGTGAAATACATACCAGACTAATACAAATTATACGATAACTGTTATAAATCTCGTGTTCTGATTGGTTGGGAGCACATGAGAGTACATTGCAAACACACACACTTTCCATTGCGTCATTCCTATCTAAAATAACGGTTATAGTAATTTGTATTTTATAAAAGAAATAAAAAACTTGCTTGCTGTGCTGTGTGCCGTTATAAAGCACTTGGGGATTGGCAGAACACTCAAGAAGTGTCAAGAAGCACTCTGCTACACGTTGTGCTTCTCCTAACACTTCTCTCGTGTTCTGCCAACCCCCAAGTGCTTTATAATGACACACAGCACGCATGCCCATTTTCTATTTCTTCATAAGTTGTCATTTCACTATTACATACATACAGGTGTACATACATGATTTATTTAGTATCAACAGTTGCAAATTTCAGAAAGCAGTATACAATATTGAACCAGAAATACTGTAAGATACAAGCTATCTACAACAGCTATAACTATTACGCACTAGTAAATAATGATATCTGTTTCACGGGTTTATGAAAACCACTCACTCTATTTGTCTTCAACTTTTTTTAACATTGTTAATTCTAGGAAGTTTTAGTGTTATGAGCTTCAATGTTCTGTGTGACAAGTACTGTACCAAACAGTTGTATGGATACTGTCCTTCCTGGGCTCTTGACTGGGAGTACAGAAAAGTGTCTATCATGAAAGAAATCTTACGTTATGGAGCAGATATTGTCAGCTTGCAGGTTGGTGATCAATTTTTTATTTTATTTTTTTGCCAAAGAGATACATGTAAATAGAAATTTATAGACTCTTGTTGTTTATTAAGATTTACTTTCCCCTTTAGCTTTTTAGTATTTAATATA